TATCTTTTCCCTTATTGCATTACATGGGTTGTTTGCGAAGATTACCTCACTTGCGACATTGCTTTCAATGCGGTTATGCCTCTAAGCCGTGCTTCGACACGTGGGAGATATAGCCGCATCGAGGGCGTAACAAGGATATCTCCGAACTAGGGTCATAATTGATGTGGAAAAACCTTTGCGGAGGTGGATATTGATCGATTCTGCAAGAAGGAAGAAAGTTGATGCCTACGATATTCAATATGAGCAGATTCCTTACTTCTGCCTCTCATGTGGACGACTAGGCCACTCAGAACTGTACTGCCCCACTCCGGGCTCTAGGGATGAGAAGGGTGAGCCTCCGTTTGGATCATACATGCGAGCTCCTGAAGATTATAAGAAACAGCCGTCCCAGGAGAGTTCGGTGAAGATCCCAAGATCGGGAACAAGTAGCAAGCCGGGCACAAAGAATTTGAGCACTCAACCAAAAACAGATGGGGGTGAGGAAGTTGTTTCGCCTTTGAAGAATCCATCTAGGGGTAAGCACAAGAGGAAGGAGGGGCCTACTGCAGTATATGTGCCAAAGCAACTTCTGCTTACCTCGGGTGAGGATAATACAACTAAGGTAAACCATGCAGGGAATATAGATGAGGATGAGATTGAGGGGTCAGAAAGGGATCCAAAGAAGAAAAAGCCAACACCTAAGAATTTGGCAGAGGCCGCTGGGCGGCCCTGCCGGGAGCAATGAGTTGTTTGAGTTGGAACTGCCGGGGGCTTGGGAACCCCGAGGCAGTTCGAGAGCTACGCAAGATTGTGCGGCAGGAAGTTCCCGCCCTACTGTTTGTTATGGAAACCAAAATTAGGGCTAAGAGAGTTGAGTTACTGCAGAGACAGTTGGGCTTTGCAGGCTGTTTTGCGGTTGACAGCAATGGACTAAGTGGCGGCATTGGTCTATTCTGGTTAGGTGACGTCAGTGTTGAGTTAAAAAACTATAGTGCTAGCCATATTGATGTCATGGTTAGGAAATCTGATGATGTTAGCTCTCCTGCTTGGAGGCTTACTGGTTTCTATGGAGCTCAAAGGGCAGAAAATCGACACCATAGCTGGAGGTTCATGAGAACTTTGCACCAGATCGAACACGAAGCTTGGCTTTGCGTGGGAGATTTTAATGAGACCATGTATGGGACAGAACATTTTAGCCGTTCGGAAAGGCCGGAGTGGCAGATGAGGGCTTTCAGAGATGTTATCAAGGAGTGCTCATTTCAGGACCTAGGCTGGTCAGGTGTGCCGTTCACATGGGATAATGGGCAGTAAGGGGATAGGAATGTCAAGGCAAGATTGGATCGAGCACTAGCGAATCCAATTTTTTTGCAGAGATTCGAACATACATGTGTACAACATCTCAGTGCAATGGAGTCTGACGACTGCTTCGTTATGGTGGAAATTCATGAAAAAGCACAAGCCAGGGGTCATGGCAAACGACAGTTTCGGTACGAGAATATCTGGCAGTCGCATGCAAACTATGATAAGCTCGTGGCCAATGTTTGGAGGCGTCACTGCCGCAGGGCTGGTCTTGCCAGCATTGCGGACACCCTGTCCACTTTACAAGTGGAGCTGGAGGTATGGGGAGCGAAGGAGTTTGGGTGTCTCGCAAAGAAGATAAAGAAAATCCAATAGAAGCTTGACAGGCTGCGCTCTACGTCAATGGGAAGAGGCCTGTCAGAGGAGGAGAAGAGAGTAGTGATGCAGTTGAGAGAGACTCTGAAACTGGAGGAAATCTGGATGCGACAATGGTCGCGAATTCCATGGTTGCGTGATGGCGATCGAAACACAAAGTACTTTCAGGCTCAAGCTACCCAGAGGCGTCGAGTGAATCGCATTTCAGGTTTACGACGTTGTGATGGTTCATTGTGTAACGGGGAAGAGGAAGATAAAGAGGAGATTCAGTCGTTTTATCAATCTCTCTTCCTTTCCCAGGGTATTAACGATATGGAAGCATTGTTGCAGTTCATCCCGGTGAGAGTGTCTCTTGAAATGAATGAGGCTATAGACAAACCATACACTGCGAAGGAAGTTCGTGCGACTCTGTTTCAGATGGCACCGTCCAAGGCTCCAGGAGTGGACAGTTTCACGGCAGGCTTCTTCCAGCATCATTGGAACTTGATCAAAGAGGACCTGGTGCCTGCTATACTGGACTTTTTGCATGGGGTGAGCTGCCCTTGGGATTCAATGACACGTCTATCACACTTATCCCTAAGGTGAGGCACTCGCAGCAAATAACTCAGTACCGCCCAATCGCCCTTTGCCCTGTCCCGTACAAGATAGCATCCAAAATGGTGACGAACAAGCTGAAGGTGTGGATGAATGTGATAGTGGGGGAAGAACAAAGTGCTTTTGTACCCGGACGTAATATAACTGACAACGTTTTAGTGGCTTTTGAGAGTGTGCATACCATGAGAAGAAGGAAGAAGGGCAAGAACTACTCGTGTGCGGTGAAGCTGGATATGATGAAAGCTTATGATCGAGTGGAACATCATTATTTGGAAGCAGTGATGCATCGACTTGGTTTCAACAGCAGTTTCATTCATTTGATCATGAAGTGTGTGTGACTTCAGTCAGATTTTCAGTGAGGGTGAATGGGGAGCTCCTCCGTTTTTCACCCTTCGAGGGGACTAAGGCAGGGGGATCCAGCGTCCCCCTTTCTGTTCTTGCTGTGTGCGGAAGGACTAACCTCCTTGTTAAACAACTCTGGCTCATTTATAGACAGGGGTGTGAGGGCCACGGTTAGATCACCTTGGATCAACCACCTCCTATTTGCAGACGTCTGTCTCATTTTTATTAGTGCAAATGCAGAAAGTGCGGACCGGCTCAATGAGATACTGAATATTTATGCTATGTGCTCAGGGCAAAGTGTCAACAAAGAGAAGAGTGCAGTCTACTTTACTCCTAACACTCCGGATGAAAGAAGGCAGCAAATGAAGCAACGCCTGGGTATCTTTGTTGAAACTTTCAGCGACAGGTACCTTGGTTTACCAATGGCTGTTGGCAAGATCACTAGTGGCACGTTTGAGCACATCTGTGATCGAGCAAGGAGCAAGATGACGGGATATTCAGAGAGAGATTTGGCATGTGCGGGGCGAGAAATATTGCTGAAATCAGTCATTCAAGCGATACCAACTTTCAGTATGACTTGCTTCCGCTTAACAAAAAAGGTATGTAAGAAGATCACGTCTTGCACGGCAAGGTGCTTTTGGAGCAGTAACATCGACAGGCGCTCGATGCATTGGCTTTCATGGAAGAAGCTAGCTACCCCGAAAGAAGCAGGGGGAATGGGATTCCGGGACCTCGAGGCTTTTAACCTGGCCTTGCTGGGCAAGCACGGTTGGAGGTTTATGGTATACCCTGAGATCTTGTGCTCTCGAGTTATGAAGTCCAGATATTTTCCAGATACAGACTTTATGGCTGCCACAATCCCAAAGACGGCATCACCTATCTGGAGAGCGATAGTTGCCGGCCGCAAGGCATTGAAGCTTGGCCTGATAAAGAGGGTGGGATGGCTCCACGATCTCCATTTGGGAGGACAAGTGGATCCCTGATACTATTTCAGTGGCTCCTATGGTAAAACCTGATAACACATCTCTTGTTTTTGTAAATGAGCTGATTGATCAGGTGAACTGGACATGGCAACATGAGCTTGTTCGTGCAACCTTCCTGGCACCGGATGCCCAAGCAATCTTAAATATCCCGCTGCGCAATGGTGGAGAGAGGACTTTCAAGCGTGGGCCTTTGAATCCACCGGAATTTATACTGTCAAATCAGCATATCGTACTCTTGTGACTCACAAAGAGCGACTAGCTTGAGAGGAAGGGACGGATATGGGTATCTCACAGACCGAAAGACAGTTATGGAGTTCTTTATGGAAGCTAAAGGTTATACCTAAAGTGCGAGTTTTCTGGTGGGGGGTGCTGAACAAAATCCTACCAGTCGAAGAAACTCTCAAGCGAAGACATATCAAAGAATTGGATCGATGCAACGTGTACCTAGCAATGGGAGAAGATCTGATGCATGCATTGATACACTGTACACATGCAAAACTTTTCTGGAATGAAGTGGAAGCATTATTTGATTTTCATCTACCGCGGCTGCACCCTGAGACTTGGTCTAGGGATATTATATGTGACAACAGGTTCGCCAAGGATGAAAGGGCTAAAATTATTACAGTTATGTGGGCCATCTGGCATTCACGCAATAGATGGGTTCACAATCAGGAGACACTTGATCCTGGCAATGCAGTGAGAAAGATCAGAGAAGACCTTGCACTTTTGGAGCTGCCTAGGAAGCAAGTTTCAGTCCTACCAGGCTATGGATGGCGGCCACCTGAGGACGACAGTGTGAAGATTAACTGTGATGGAGCCATTGATATTCTCTCTAGCAAGGGAGGAGCTGGCGGAGTGGCACGCTCGGTGTCAAGTCTGCTGGGTACGCAAGCCACATGATGGGGTGACAGACCCATTGATCATGCAGGCACTAGCCCTCCGGGAAGGAGTCATTTTCGCCAATTTGCGAGGTCTAAAGCGAGTGACGATGGAGACTAACTACTTGGCTTTGGTGAATTTGTGAAATTCTCGTCATGCAGAATGATCTGCTGTGGCACATATTCTTGATGAAATTGGAGAGCTCTCTTTAGTTTTTGATTATTTTGTAATTCAATATGTATTAAGGACAACCAATATGTCGGCCCATTTGTGTGCAAAGCGAGCTTGCACATTTCTGATTACTCACAGTTGTCTGAACTCGCCACCCTCGTTCTTGGTTAGCAGCCTCTTGGCAGGCTGCCCCAAGAATGTTTTTGTTGAATAAAAGCTCTCAGATATTTCCCTAAAAAAAGTTTATTTTCCTTTTTTTTGCGCATAGTGTTCAGTTTATTTTCCAACTTCGATGGATCCACCCCGCAGATAGTGTGACGTCCGTCTCCTCCGCGGCTCCGCCTAACCAAACCCGCCGCTCTGTTGTCTCTTTCGTATATGGCCGGCGCAAGATCGGCGGCAACCAGGCTCACACACTCTTCGCTATTCCTACTGTCTCGCGCCGCCGCAGCGGCTGCGACCCGCCGTACCAATCTCCCCTCCTCCTCGAGAGGTACGGCTGACTCCTCCCCTCTCTCTGCCTTCCGCATACTGCATATTTCTTTGGCCTGACCCCTTATATGGTTTCGTGGTGTAAATGCAATACTAGCTTGGGTGCCTCCTGATTTTACACGGTAGATTCGGTGCTTGATTGGTCTGGTTGCTATTCAGCGGCCCTTTTGGGGATGTAGGCTCTTTGACAGCCTGACGCTATCTGTTCGGGTTTGTTTTGGAAAGTATGGCAAATGAAATGAGGGTGTTGTTGCACAACAGTGTACTGTAGATGGCTTGTCAATGGATTTTACTCTAACCTAGTTAATGCCTATCTTCGCTTGAAACTTTCCAGGTTTGCTATTCCATGTGAAATAGCTCAAGTCCTTCCTAACTCAGGATTAGAGGTCGCCTGCTAAAACAAAGCAGAACATTTCTTGGAATAAATCTTATTTTCAGAACTCATTAGAATATGAGAGAGCATTTGGTTTCATTGCCAACTACAGTAGCTCAGACTGGCTTTGCTGAGTCTGCCTTTCCTGCACGTTTGGCTGATTGGCTAGGAACGGTTTTTATTTTACGAGATATGTTTGCCGTCAAGAGCGAGCAGAATCAGCTCTCCAGAGCTGACAAGGTTTTTCTTGCCCTCCTATGCTAGCTCCCCTGCAAAAATTTTGTCGTACCAAACACATCTCCTAGCCTGGTAAGGCTATAACAGTTTTTTCTCATCCAAACGTACTGTGAAAGACTGTATTTTTTACCAAAGTAATGTACCTGTGAAGTTTAAGTTGTTACAAGCATTTGATTGCAGCCCAGTTCTCAAAAGAGTTTGTGACAGGGTTCCAAAGTTTACCTTTGCCTGGTATTGCAGCCTTGCAGGCAATCAATTGACTTGTGTATTCTGGGCTATAAACCAACTCCATGGAAGATACTTCATTCAAAATGAGAAACATTTATCTTATGAAACACTTATGAATTTTTTACCATCAAATATATATATACACAGAATCAGCAATGCTATTTTCTGTTAAGAAATATGGTGAAGAAAGAATAGCAAATCATGCATAAACCATGAATATTCCAATCGATTCATGTCAATTTCTTGCCTTCAAAGTATCTATATAAAATCTAAATGCTAAAATTAGTCAGTTCAGTTTTTTTGGGAGCTAGTCAGCGCAGACTCATTTGTGTCTTTGTGATCGTAACTTATACCAGCAAGCAACCATTGGTGAAAGTAAGTTTTGAATCTAGATGGAGAGTAGAAGAGTAAGTGAGCAAGTCAAGATATTAGAATCCTGGCAAAGTGAGCATGCCAGAAATCTAGCCAGTCTTAGAGCATCTACAGCCAAGATACGCAAATCCGTGTCCCTATACATCCGCGGTCGCGCCCGGACGCGCCCGCGGATGGTGACCGGGCGAGCCTCAAATTTTCCCATTTGCAACCACAGACCCTATATTTAAAATACCTAATACATGCAAAGACATGCACATCGATCATTTTGGATGTTTTAGTCCGTGTTGGGCTAGCGGGGTTGTGTAAACGCCAAAGAATTGTTCGTAAGATTTCCACTATAGAAACATCCGTGTTGGGCCGGCGTGTTTGGGGTTTTTTAGTTCCACCTCGCTGCCGGAGGAGTGCCGCGGCTGGCTTAAATAGCCGCGTCGGGCAAAAGCGTTAAGCTACTCTCTCTTAATAGGGGCTATCAATGCTCGCTTTGTGAAGGAGCTCATATCCTGCACAAGGCGAACATTGATGGCCACTGCTAACAATAAGAACTTTTTTTAAGTATGAGAACTTTTTATTCAATCATTCTCATCAAGCTCCTACGAGAAAATCACGAAAAAGCTAGTCGGACAATGTGTCAAATACATAGAGGGCAAGGTGCAGTCCGGTGCAAGTGAAATCGGGTAGGTCGGAGGGGATTTGGTGCAATTTTTGCTGGGGTCGGGTTGTCAAGTCCGACGTGGCGGACGCGCCGGGTCAGCCCCATATCCGCCCCATATTTGGGCTGGATATGAGGGGTGCCGGTCAGCCTGGGCGTTTGAGGGCCGTTTGAAGCGCCCGTCTGGGTTGGGTTTTTTTTTACCGGGTCGTCCGCCCGGGCGTATGAGGGGGTTTGAGGCACCCGGCTGTAGATGCTCTTATTGCATTTCACATTTTTCGGTATGTTCTTTGTCCCTCATCAGCCTTCTCTTCGAGTCCTAAATGGCATTTTCTTTTCTTCCCTTTCTCTACTTCCTTGTTGACCTAACTTAGTTGTAGTGTTCATGACTTTACATTCAATGAATATAAGGCAGTATTAGTTATGATGCAGTGTTTGCTGTAATCTTACATAGGAAATTAACTATTTAAACTAGTCATTAGTTACAACTCTAGGACTATAGTATGTCCATCAGGGAAATATTACTTTCCTTAGATTTATAGTTCAGTTGATAGATGGATATAATTTGTATCCTGCAAATTTTCAGCCTCTGGCACCACATATTATTTGTTCACATTAGTTTTTTTGTGTGTGCTTATTTTGCACTGCAGATTATTCAAAGATGGCTAGTTCAGTTGGAGGCAATGGCTACAGTGATGTTACACGGGTGCTATTCTGTGGCCACTATTGGCCTGCTTCTACTATTTATACGAAGGAGTACTTGCAAAACTATCCATTTATTCAGGTTAGTGATGCATGTGAACTTAGTTGATCGTCCTCTAACTTTAACTGAAGTGTAAAACTTTTCAACTCTATAACGCCAATGCCACATAAATCATTAATTTATCTTCTGTTAGCTACCCATACTGCATGGTGAGGCATCTTCAGAACTTCAGATGACTGTTGTTTTAAGTACTATTGGCCGTTGTAGCATGACGCTTGACTTTGAGAGGGCACACATGATAAGAATGGATCCAGAGCACATACTTTGCTTTCCATGTTCCGGTAAAAGGACTAACAAGCAATCTGGTCAAATAAGGATCATGCAAGGACCCAACGATGATGTTTTGATAATAACGTATGGCATTTGTCAATGCCTCAGTGATACAGGATACACATTTTTATCTTTTGTTCTTGCTGATATAAAATGTAGATCTCAAGAGTTTGGTATTTCTGAAAGCTTTGCAAATTAGTTTGTACTGGTTCCTGGTTTTCTTGTAACATGCACTGTTATGTGTACCCACCTTGCTTTCTCATTATTATTTCTCCATTTGGAGTGCTGGAAAAAAAAATCCACAATCCTGATTTTCTTCTTCTGATATCATAGTTGATGATGTGCTTACATTTTAGTCTTGAGAGTGTTTTCTGTCTGCGAAATGTGACTATACATGTAGGAACTTATGTCTGACCACATTTTAATGCACTTTTCAGGTTGACGAAGTAGGCCTTGATCACGTACCTGATGTTATTCAAAACTACCATATATGTGTAGTGAAAAATAAATGTATAGATTCAGATATCATTGCCAAAGCAACTAAGATGAAGATTATTATGCAGTATGGTGTTGGTTTAGAAGGTGATTATAAGCCTGGATTAGTGGATCTGGTGTTGACGTATTATCTTACATTCTGATTGATCCATCGACATAACTAGGTCTTCTTATATGGAGTATGTAATTTTTTATAGGTGTTGACATAAATGCTGCTACAGAACAGAAAATCAAAGTTGCACGGATACCTGGGAGTACTACAGGAAATGCAATTGCTTGCGCAGAAATGGCTATCTATCTAACTTTAGGTGTTCTGCGGAACCAAGTAAAGTCACATGACTAGCAGTTTTGACCTATTGGCAGTGCTGCTCTCTATATCGTGGAGCTCCTATTGATGAACATTCATCTCATTCTTGTCTCACTACATCCACTCATGTATACAGTACCGAGTTTCTCAGTTCTCATGATAGCATGCCTAATTATGTTGATATTCCTGCACGATCGGTGAAAAATTGATGCAGATATGAAGTAGGCGAGCATATAATATTCTGCGCCACTAGGTCTTTGGTTGTAAAATTACCAGTACTTCAAAAGTGGGATAAAAGGGCCTGCAAGCTGCAGAAATTTGGGAACAAATACATGATGAGCGTATTAAACATGGTTTCTGTTTCATGTGGATCCTACTTAGTACAATATCCAACAATTTATGCAATTAGACACTGATTTCGAGCCATGGTTCATCATGTTGCATATATTTGTACAGAATATTCACTCAGTTTTTTGTTAAATAAGCTACCTTCGTAGCTGCCATCATTTGGAAGATAAGTTTTTTTAGTTTAATAAATATAAGTTAGCTTCTGTTAGTTGTAATGGAATATTCATGTTTTGGACTTTGGCCATAATTTGCAGAAGGAAATGGATACTGCTGTCATTCAGAAGGACTTGGGCCTTCCAGTTGGAGAAACAATATTCGGGAAAACAGTATGCTTTTCGTGTATGAGTTACTTTTTATCTACTTTCCACAAGAAAAATCCCATTTGAGTAGAAATTTGTATTTACTTTGCTAGATACTTATCCTGGGGTTCGGAGCCATTGGCATGGAAATTGCCAAGAGACTAAGACCATTTGGAGTGAAAATTCTTGCTACAAAAAGAAACTGGTCATCAAATACAGTGTCTTGTGGTAAGTTGCAGTATCATTCCCTTATGAGTGAATTATTAGATGTTGTGTTATCTTCCTCTCTCAAAATATTGCTATTGCAGATATTGATGGGCTGGTTGACAAGAAAGGTGGTCCAGAAGATATGTACGAACTCGCTCGAGAAGCTGACATAGTTATAACTTGCATGACGTTAAACAATGAATCAGTTAATTCTTCTCTATGTTCATTTATTTAATAAAAAGTCTGCCAGAAATATCTCTATTCGACTTCAGTTAGGCGGTTACTAAGGCACTAAAGCTATAAATATTTATAGGTTGGGATTGTGGATCACAAGTTCCTGTCAGCTTTGAAAAAGGTATGTGTATTTTTTCTCCAATATACTTGTCTGCATCGTAGGAGATTTACATCTTATTTCTTAAATTTTCTTCTGAGATTTATTTACTTTACGGAATAAATAAGCCATCATTCTTGATTCATCCTGTAAGAAGAAAATTTGTATATGAGGAAATGTTAATCTTAGAATAGTGTTGGAGGATCAGATTGTGCTGGTGTATGCATTGGAATAACCATCAGAAAATGGCAAAATGATCCCAGGAGCATATGTTCTTGTTTCAAAGAACACATGTGCTGCTAAAGTTTTCAAAAGGAAAAGATATCAAGAATATTCGTAGACGTTTGTGGAATGATACTGTATATATATAGCGCTGTGTGTTCCCTGCAAAAAAAAAGCGTCGTGTGTTCCCCGCAAAAAGGGTGTTGTGTGTGTGCACCACTGCGGACCAAGGTTTTTTCCCAGTGGTAACCGACCAGAAATTTCGCTGACCCCCAAGAAACAGCGCTACCGTTCGATTTTTTTGAAAAAAACTGAATTCAAATGCTAAGATCTGCATGCATATCTTATCACAACTCACTGCCTCGTGTGGTGGTGAGGTCCATAACTTACACCCTTGGAGGTCGTCTTGGGGGATTCCCCTATTGTCCCATCAATGTTTGCAGCTTCTTCAGCTGTAAACGGTGCATAGCAAAATAGTGCAGCAGCGAGGGTTCGAACCCGCACCCCACGCGGAGAAAGGCATGTGTAAGATGACCAGTGGAATAAGTGAGAGTATGTGTGTGTGCCAGGTTAAAATTACATATTGTGACGCAAAAAATTTAAATTCAGAATTTGTTTGAATACGTTCAGACAGAATAATTCCGAGATTGGAATTCGGTTCTTCCGGCCCATTAAAAAAAAGGGTATCGAAAAAAAACCTTGCTGCAGAAACACATGTGACAGGCATAACCGACCCCAATTGGCACAAATTATGGTTGTTTTAACTATTTAAATTAGGAAGATATCTTGTAACCTGGCCCTTAAGCCAGCAGAAATAAGATAATCCTGCTTTTTATTGTTTGGCTCTATGTAAAGAAGACCCTCTTAGAATATATGAATGAAACAAGAAATAATCAGCCTTATGTTCGAGCCTCTCCTCCATTATCAACCTAGCCATACCGAGCTGGCGGTATTATCCATCATGAACTAAGGTTCGTGGCATAGAGTTGATATTTTAGTATTTCTCTCCTTGCAGGCTTGCACACACATAAATGGACATATTTCATGACAAAAACTTAGAGTGCATAATTATTTTGCAATCTACATATAGGATCTGTTTTTGATTTTTGGAAAACTATGAAATATACGCCTGACAGCAGAACTCCCGTTCTCAATAGCTGCCATGTTCTTGTAGGGATCATATCTCATCAATATTGCCAGAGGACGCCTACTGGACTATACGGCTGTGTTTAATCACCTTGAGTCAGGTCATTTAGGTGGTTTGGGCATTGATGTTGCTTGGACGGAGCCATTCGATCCAGAGGATCCAATTCTGAAATTCCCAAATGTTATTATAACACCACATGTTGCAGGAATCACAGAATACTCTTACAGAACCATGGCAAAGGTTTGCACTTGTTTCTCTGCAATGCACAAAGTTACTTCTCATTTATCAATCATGTATTTGTTGCTAGTAGTTGTATCTTGTCTGTTAACTCCTGTAGTTACATTATAATATTTGTGTCAAAAGAACTTTTAGATTCAGAAGCGCCACATTTGTTATTTATTTTTGAGCCAACTACGGCACTTTAATATCATTAAGTAGCATCAATTACATTACCCTCCAGAATACGTCTGGTGGATCATCTTTCCAAACAAAACTAGCACTAGAATCATATGAGAACTAGTTAGTTTATGAGCTACCTCATTGGCTTCATGAGCACACTGTTTAAACATCGCAGTGCCAATTTAGATGACCAGCTTTCCTGGCCACAGGCTTGGTATGAAAAAGCAGTATTCTGTTGGAAGAACTTTTTTTCTCATGACTAAAAGCATCAGTAAACAAGAAGATATATGCTTAAACGAAATTAAATGATATTAGCCACTTAGCAAACCTCCTCTTTCTCTGCGCATAAACTCATGGTTTTCCTTGTGGATTGTTGCTTCTTTTTTTCGATATCCTAGAATTACTTTGAACTGAAGGACACCTCATTCAACCCCTGCTCAGATAGGCGTGTCATGTGCATTATCATTTCATTCTTAATAAACGAAGCCATCACCATCATCATTAACCGTGTGTATTGTCATTGAAATCCTCGATGTAAAAGAACGAAAGTTCGCTGACTTGTGTGACCATTTACCATTTCCTCTCGTACTGAATTTTGCTCTGCCTTTGGGTACAGGTTGTTGGTGATGTCGCTCTCAAGCTTCATGCAGGAGAGCCATTCACCGAAATAGAATTTGTGAACTAGGCAAACTGAGTAGATGGCGGCATTGTTGATTTAATTTAAGACGTATTACTAGACCCAGAATTACCAAATAAAGGCAAATGTTATGGACGATACCAAATAAAGGCAAATGTTATGGACGATACCAAATAAAGGCAAATGTTATGGACGATTGCATTACTGGAGAATCATAGGAATTCGACCGGTTTATTGATGTAAAGCATTGTTGTCTGTCTGATTGCAAACATGTGAAGCGTTAGCAGCAAATTTCTGCATCTCTGTTGCATACAATCAACATTGTTAGAATGCCATGTTTGCTTCAAAGGCCACTGAGAACCTGAAACAGTTTTGATGGTGGCCGCTGGGGTTTCGGAGTGAAAATTCTTTTTTTTAAAGGGAAGTGAAAATTCCTTGGATGGATGGATCCGGCAATGAAGACCCAACACACACACACACACGCGCGTCGCAGTTTTTGCTACTCCCTCCGTTCCGAATTACTTGTCACAGAAATGGATGTATCTAGATGTATTTTAGTTCTAGATACATCCATTTTTGCGACGAGTAATTTGGAACGGAGGGAGTATCTCTGAAGCAACACTGTATGCTCTGGTGGGTGAATTTAGCAAAGGAGGCAGGACGATGTTCTTTCCGAAACGTGTAAAAAAATATTTTTTCCGTAAAGATGTTATATAATCCTGGAGTCTTTTTTAGATTAAATCCAGCCATTGCTTTATTAGATTAGATCGGCAACAGATTACACTCTGACCGAAGAATTCTAGTCAGGAACCCAGGAATTATATCAAAACACATGCATATATCAGTACCAAGAGCTTCTTTAACACATAGGCGCGCCACCCAATTTGCCTCATGTTGAGTACAAAGAACTTTGAAACCCTGGAAAGAACCACACATGCCACATCTGTTTGATCTCCTTCAGGATCTGAACTCCATCACTCCGAATAGCTTTGTCATCATTCCATAACTCAACTAAGGACAAGCAATCTGATGGAACTATGATATTTTGAAGGGTTAGGGCACATCTAGATGTGTCTTAATTATTGCACATCTAAGTCACTCAATCAAGCATAAGAAGGAAAAGAAAAAGGGAAAAGAAAATATCCACACGAATCTCCGTGTAAGATCGATGATTTAGGACTTAGATGTACAATATTTATGACATATCTAGATGTGCTTTAGCAAAACTGTATTTTGAACACCTCATTTGATTGTTGTCTCAAATCCATCCCAGAACGCAAAGAAGCTTGGCGGGTTCATCATCGTCAGCCGATTAGCTGCTTGCTAGCTTCGCGGATAAGGAAGCTTTAGTTCCTGCGGCTCATGGCTGGCCGACAAGCTTGCCGCCAGACACGAGGAAGGCATGTGGTGGGAAACGGGTGCCGACAATCATTTAGACTTGGTTAAACTAGGGTTTAGTTCAAATATGTCGAAACGGGCGTCAGTTTTATGTAAAAATTATCTAAGTTTGATTGAAAATAGTTCGGTTTGTATAAATTTGCATCAAGTTTGTTTATTTTTGTTAAATTGGTTTTCGGGATCACGCATCATTGTCCTCGGACTGGTCCTCATCTGTCCGTGGTGTTCAGTTTGGGGGTCAGTGTTGGAGATGCCCTAAAATCCAAGCACACCCTAATTCTGACGAGATGGCCCCACCTGCCAAAGACAGGCATGACTCGTCTCTTTTGCCCCTCCAAGTTTCGCGCTCCCCTCTGCCTGCCGCTTGCAGAGTAAGGCCAACTCCAACGCACGATCCCAAACGGACGTCTGGTTCGTCCGCTTTTCGTCCGTTTGGGGCAGGAAAACGGGCACGGCCATCTGCTTGCGGTCGTGCGGCCATTGGTGCGCCCAACCGACACACCTCGTCCCAAACCATCTGGGGTTGTGGACTTCGATTTTTGCCCCCAAAAAAGAAAATAAACTTGCAAATAGTACAAGAACATAAATATAAACATAAACATCCAAACGTCCATAGTACCAGAGTTCAACGCAGGTCTTAATTAAATTAAAACCTAATAAAAGACATAAAAGAACCAGATAAAGGACCGTCGCCGGTGGCAGCCTTTGTCTTCACGAGTCGCCGTCCTACTCGTCGTCGTCGCCGGTGAGGCCGACGTAGGGCCGTGGCTGCCAAAAGTGGGTTGGCGGCCCCTGCCAGACCGGGGGCGCTGACAACGCGTGCACCACCTCCTCCCGTGGCTCCTGCTTGTGCTCTGGTGACCGCGGCGGCGTGGCTAACCATGGGCCAAGACTCACTGAGTCAGCCAACTCTGGCACCATGCACGACCAACTCCACCTCTGGCCCACCAGACAAGGGTTACACGCGGCGATGGGCGGCTTCTCCACCACCTCCTCTGTCTCCTCCACCACCTCATCCGGCACCTCCTCCCTGACGTCGACGTCCATAGGTTCCCTAGGATTACCCGTGTGCCACGCCCCTGCCACGGTCACCCACATGATCACAGTAGATTGGGCTGCACGAGGCTTCCCTCCCCCTCTCAAAAATATCTACTTCCTCGCAATCTCGAAAATATCTACCCGCGTAGATGGTTTTTTTGTTTGATAGCACACGATTAGTATGTCTAGACCGTGTGCGATGTCTGTTACTCCCACTCTGCTTCAATCAATAGATCCAAATTTTCAGTAGCCCCGACATTTTACTCCCGCCTTCATCCTTGGCAATCTAAAAAATATCTGCTCGGCTGGAGTGTTTTTCTGTTTGATAGCACACGATTATTATGTTTTAACCGTGTGTGATGTTCATTACTCCCGCCCCGCTCTGCTTCAATCCCTTGATCCAAATTTTCAGTAGCTCTGCCATTTTACTCCCGCCTAGTAAAATTCTCAGTACCCATGGCATTTCCTCAAACACCACCTTGGACCCCCTCCACACCCCCAAATCCTTCGTGTTGGGGAACGTAGCAGAAATTCAAAATTTTCTACGCAACACCAAGATCAATCTATGGAGTAATCTAGCAACGAGGGGAAGGAGAGTGCATCTACATACCCTTGTAGATCGCTAAGCGGAAGCGTTCAAGCGAACGGGGTTGATGGAGTCGTACTCGTCGTGATCCAAATCACTGGAGATCCTAGTGCCGAATGGACGGCACCTCCGCGTTCAACACACGTACAGCCCGGTGACGTCTCCCATGCCTTGATCAGCAAGGAGAGAGGGAGAGGTTGAGGAAGACTCCATCCAGCAGCAGCACAACGGCGTGGTGGTGGTGGAGGAGCGTGGCAATCCTGCAGGGCTTCGCCAAGCACCACGGGAGAGGAGAAGAACTTGGGAGAGAGGGAGGGGCTGCACCAAAGGCATAAAGGGTGTCTCAAGAGGCCCTCCTACCCCCACTATATATAAGGAGCCCAGGGGGGGTGCGCCAGCCCTAGGAGATCCAATCTCCTAGGGGGCAGCGGCCAGGGGAGGTTTCCCTCCCCCCCAAGGCACCTAGGAGGTGCCTTCCCTCCTTGGGACTCTTCCTTAGGGTTCCCCTTTCACCCTAGGCGCATGGGCCCTAGGGGAAGTGGCGCCCCAGCCCACTTTGGGCTGGATCCCTTCTCACTTCAGCCCATGAGACCCTCCGGGATAGGTGGCCCCACCCGGTGGGCCCCCGGGACCCTTCCGGTGGTCCCGGTACAATACCGATGACCCCGAAACTTGTCCCGATGGCCGAAATAGGAATTCCTATATATAAATCTTTACCTCCGGACCATTCCGGAACTCCTCGTGACGTCCGGGATCTCATCCGGGACTCTGAACAACATTCGGTAACCACATACAAGCTTCCTTTATAATCCTAGCGTCATCGAACCTTAAGTGTGTAGACCCTACGGGTTCGGGAGACATGCAGACATGACCGAGACGTTCTCCGGTCAATAACCAACAGCGGGATCTGGATACCCATGTTGGCTCCCACATGTTCCACGATGATCTCATCGGATGAACCACGATGTCAAGGACTTAATCAATCCCGTATACAATTCCCTTTGTCTATCGGTACGATACTTGCCCGAGATTCGATCGTCGGTATCCCGATACCTTGTTCAATCTCGTTACCGGCAAGTCTCTTTACTCGTTCCGTAACACATCATCCCGTGATCAACTCCTTGATCACATTGTGCACATTATGATGATGTCCTACCGAGTGGGCCCAGAGATACCTCTCCGCTTACACGGAGTGACAAATCCCAGTCTCGATTCGTGCCAACCCAACAGACACTTTCGGAGATACCCGTAGTGCACCTTTATAGTCACCCAGTTACGTTGTGACGTTTGGTACACCCAAAGCACTCGTACGGTATCCGGGAGTTGCACAATCTCATGGTCTAAGGAAATGATACTTGACATTAGAAAAGCTTTAGCATACGAACTACATGATCTTGTGCTAGGCTTAGGATTGGGTCTTGTCCATCACATCATTCTCCTAATGATGTGATCCCGTTATCAATGACATCCAATGTCCATGGTCAGGAAACCGTAACCATCTATTGATCAACGAGCTAGTTAACTAGAGGCTTACTAGGGACATGGTGTTGTCTATGTATCCACACATGTATCTGAGTTTCCTGTCAATACAATTATAGCATGGATAATAAACGATTATCATGAACAAGGAAATATAATAATAATCAATTTATCATTGCCTCTAGGGCATATTTCCAACAGTCTCCCACTTGCACTAGAGTCAATAATCCAGTTCACATCGATATGTGATTAACACTCAAGGTCACATCCCCATGTGACTAACACCCAAAGAGTTTACTAGAGTCAATAATCTAGTTCACATTTACCATGTGATTAACACTCGATGAGTTCTGGGTTTGATCATGTTATGCTTGTGAGAGAGGTTATAGTCAACGGGTCTGAACCTTTCAGATCCGTGTGTGCTTTACAAATCTTTATGTCATCTCCTAGATGCAGCTACCATGCTCTATTTGTAGCTATTCCAAATAACTGTTCTACTTGGAGCTATTCTAAATTGTTGCTCCATTATACGTATCCGGTATCTCTA